CACATATGCACGGTGCCAAATCCCAGAAGACTGCTTTCTTCATAGTCACCGCCGTGAAAGCCTCAAATCTTACAAGAGGAAACTTATCTGTGCTTTTCGAAAGTCTTTTATCAGAACGACAGTATAGCCCATGTACTGAGAAAGTCTGTGTTTATAGTGACACTCATTCTGTGTCCATTCGCTTGAGAACCCACCACTCCCGAGCTCCGGGCTTCCAGGTTGAAACCCAAGGAACCAATCACCTTAACTCATTCTAAGTATCCCAGCCATTCCCATACGATTGCACGTACTTTTCTAAAGAATCCTTCATTTACTGTTCTTCAAAGTGAGAACTGCAAAACGGAATGTAGGATATCTTCTCCGCATCTACAAGACACAACAGCAGGAAACGTCTTTAGACTCAATACCCTCTAGCACAGTAATAGGCAGCTCGCAAGAAGAATAAAATAAAAACGGGGGGAAAACGCATTAAGGAAATAAAGTCCCAACAGGATTTACAGACAGTAACTTTTGTCAAATTTCACCTTTCACCGTTAGTGTAATTGATTTAACAGAGTCAGTTATCTTCCTTATCTCTTCTCTTTTATCACGTCCCAACTTTTCTTCGCTAGTTTCTCTTCCTCTGCTCTAACAATTCGTCCATTCTTTGCATTTCTTTCTTTGCTGTGTAACAGTTGACGCATAGGAACTGAATATTAGGCTATTGAGCCATCGTTTGTCTGCCTATTCCTTCTGGGTCTCTTAATATAGTGGAAGTTTTCGGAGCTTCCAAAAGTTTATTATTTCATACGTTTTTGCTCTTATATAAATTTCACCAACCAAATACATCCGCAGGGGGGGGGCTGAAGTTAAGAATAACAAATGGCTACTTTTTTGTCTTGTATCATAGGATAAAAGTTAAAGAAAATTAAGTCTTTTGAACTTCTCTGTGTTGTTAAAGAAACGAATTAATTACTGTATTTATTTCGGGTCATCTACAGAGTTTAATAATGTAAAGTTTCTGAAAACTTCAGATTCAATCTTGTGCTGTTTAATCTATGATAACTGTTCTAGTGCATTGAATACGAACACGGCCCTAGTTATAGGCCTGCTGCCGATAATTCAGCTTCCAGGAAATTTTGAGAACACAAAATATCAGCATAAATCTCAGTCTGTTTACAGGCGTAGCAAGACTTACGTTAATACATTTCCAAATGAGGACAAACATATTCTGAAAATAACGTTTAGTATTACCGGTTTTCAATATCTGTCAGGTTTTTACTTGAAATCACAAATGCGCAAAAACATTTTGTATAATCTATTATAACATGGTACAGGGCGTAAAACAAAGTGTGGTACATCACTCCTTCGTTCTTACAATCAAGTGCCTTGCATTATTTCTCTGTAAACATATACACTCTGATTGTTTACTGATCCTGCTTCTGTTCTACGTGTATATATATATACAGGGTGTCCCAGGAGGAATGTGCCAAACTTCGGGAGGGTGTTCCTTATGTTAAAGTATGCCGATATAACCCAAAACACCTATGTCCAAAGTTGAACGGTTACGGAGATAATGGCCAGAGAAGTGTCAAACTTTGACCGGGGTTACACACTTGTTGATTACAAAATAGATATTAAAACTGGCAGGAATATGTGGATTCTGTAA